CAAATAAAGATTCCAAATACTCTGTTTTCGTCCTACTAAGTTTCAATTGCTTTACTTTTTCCATCGCTTTTTTTAACATCCTTTTCTAATATTTGATTATTTTCATCTCGAATAGATCTAATAGATATATACACACACACTTCTAATTCAGCTTTCGCTTCCTTTTAAGCGAGTTTATAATTTGAAGATCTCTGCCCCACTTATTTTCTGCCCAGTATTCTCTTTTCAATTTTTTCGTGAACTTCGTTTGTATACATACAAAAACCGTCAAACGGCACTGAGTCAATCCTCAATCTGCCTACTCCTCAATGTTGAGTGGCGACCGGTCGCAAGCAGGCAAGCAATTTGATTGAACCCAGCCTATGAGAAATGTTCACCCAGGTATTACGATCGGGTGTAACAATTCATTGGAGCAAGGTGTGTTAACTCGAGTAAAAACAGGAGTCACCCCACCGTGCTCCAATGCTCTAGACCATCCCTTTCCCCCTATAGCAATCTGATTCGCTATAGAGGCACAACAATTAGCCAAATGCTCTTCATGTGGAGGTCCTGGGTAATAGAACCCCAACATGGTTTCCTAACCGAATGCAAAAACTCAGGACAGCACATCTCCGCTATATTCCTGTTATCTTAATATGGCTTATCCGCGAACTAAAATTGCATACTTGGGCCTCAAGTCTCCGCTCTGAGTCCCGGCTCAGTTCGGCCACTTGGTGCTCAAGGGGGTTGGGCCCTACGTCCCGGGTTTTGGGGTTTTTGTTAGTTTTTTTTTTGGTGGCCGAAGCCGGTTTTTTGTTAGTATTTTTTTTTATTGTTTTTGTGGCCGAAGCCGGTTTTTTGTGTTTTTTGTAATTTTTTTTGTAGGTGACCTGTGGACAAAAAATCATAATTAGTGTATAATTTATATTATAATAAGGAAAATATATAAATATTATACGATACCATAATACAGATTGTATCCTAGTTGAGCTGCTGGGCCCACTGTGAACGAGGCGATGTGCGATAATCTGGGTGATGGCGACCGGTCGTACCCTGTGTGGCTGCTTTTATACTCTCAGTATGTGCTCGAAAGATATGCGCTGACGTGGTCTGAGCTGTTTTTGACAAAGGACGAGGCGTTTTCAGATAATGGCTATAAGGATAAAGCGAGGTTTTTTGCCAATTTCTGAGTGGGGCAGCTATGTGCACTGACAATGGATCTTAGGGAAACATTGGGTTTATGGATTTTTTTAAGGCCGTATATCTTTGGTCGATTTGTTTTTTCTATATAGGTGGTGGGATCATTTGGGACGCGTTTGTATTCTGTGGAATTGACAAGTTCGAACATTTTGTCGAAATAATTAGAAGAGTTGAGAATTACGGTGGCATTATCTTTGTCGGCCGGAAGGATGACAATGTTAGGGTTGTTATAAAGTTCTTTGAGGGCGCGTCTTTCTGAAAGACTTATATTTGACGGTGGGGGTTGGGGGGGTGGGGAAGTACGGAGAATTCTGTTCAGACATCATCAAACATCTTGTCATGCAACTTCGGCTTGGTCAAAAGGAAGACGAGAAATAGCTACTTCAGTTTGACAAATAATTTTTAGGATGGAAAGAGGAGTGACAGTGAAATTGAAACCTTTTGACAGAGCTTTGGTGGCTGAATCGGATTTGTGAATATTTGAGAAATTGCGAACAATAGTACAATAGATGGACATTAAAAGAGTGGATGTCGTTGTAAGTTTTGAAAAGTTGGGAATTTGTTGTATCTAAGTTGCGTCGGATAGAATGAATTGAATTTCAAAGAAGCGAAAAATCAGTTGCTCTAAGAATTTTGAAAATTGATGGAGATTTAGTGATGTGATGTTTAATTTGAAGAGAGTTTGGAATGACTTGATGATCACGACACGTTATATATATATATATATATATATATATATATATATATATATATATATATATATATGTGTGTGTAGAAAGAAAAAAATTTAATCTTTGCAGATAAGTTAAATAGTAAATTCTTAATATTGAGGAAATCTGCAAGAAAGACTCTAATGAGTATCAATTGTTTCGCCAAAGAGAATTAAGACTTGAAGAAGCCAAATTAATTCTCTTTGACGAAAACGTTCGGTGAAACAATTGATACTCATAGAGTCTTTCTTGCAGATTTCCCCAATATATAAGAGTTTACTATATATATATATATATATATATATATATATATATATATATATATATATATGTGCATATTTTTGAAACGACGTTTTGCTACAAATGTTTCATTAGAAATTACTGAAACCATGTCGCGCAAGTGTTTTCATTTGTACTACGAGAAAAACTACTATTTTTGCCGAACATAAATCAGTTAAACATCTTAGAAGTATTGCTTAATGAATATTCAGTATATGTATAAAAATTTTATGCCTGTACACAAGACATATTCAAACGATTTCCTGGCTATTGAATGTATCTTACAAGTGTTATGTGTTCGAATAAATACATCGAATACCTGTTTAGATACTTGTCCGTTCAAGATATCGTCCTAGGTGTAAAAATTTTAAATACGTATTTCAGAAATGAAAGTGCAACTGTGGTATCTTTCATTTACTAAGTAAATGTATTCAATATTCTCATAAGTATTGAACTAATATTTGCTTGAGAGCTGTAAATAGTAATATAAGTAGACTCAATTATTTTAAATGGCTAGACTTAAAAGGAGTCTGATTGGTATTCTGGTTGTAAAAATTGATATTTAAATATAAAATCGAGAAATTTGAGAAATTAAACAGTTCTAAGCAAATTAACTGATAGCAAAACTGGTATCCAATTAAAAAAAGTGAAGATTTTATAAAAACATTGAGTTTAATAATTTATTAAAACCGTGATCATCATTTTTAATACCCAGTGGTTCATAAACATATTTTTCACCATAATATTCATGTTTTATTCACGAGATTTTCAAAACGTTGTGTCGCCGAGGAAAAGATAGTTCTATATACATATACGCTATAGAAAACTTGCATGGAAGATCAACTTTTCCTATAACTAGCACAAAGACTGACAGACAATAATGTAGTATTTAGCTTTAGAGTTATTTATATAGCAAAGCGATTATATATACAAAATTCTGGAAATATTAAGATCCTTAGACGTAGACCACATCAATCCTTCCGTATCATCAGCACCTTTAATTGGTTTGTAATTTTTATTTGTGGTACGTCCGTTTTCCGAAGAACTATTTGTCAACTGTACAATCCCGGCTAATCGATCAACTAAGTTTTTGCTAGTCCCCAAAAAACTCTAGAAGCTCACAAAATTATAGCAGTCAAAATTTATAGATTTTCTTTTCAAAAATATATGAATTGTAACATTTCCAAAAGGAACAAAAAAAGAATAGGGCAAACGATGGTTGAATCAGTTCTTTGTTATGGCTCTGAAGAATGGACAATTAATGCAGACCTGAAAAGAAGATTGTTGGCAGTAGAAATGGATTATTTGAGAAGAAGTACTAGAACATCAAGACTGGAAAGGAAAACCAACGAATCTATAAGAAATCAGATGAATGCTACAGATACGGTCATAGACAGAATAGAAAGAAGAGGTTTAAAATGGTTTGGACACCTGTTAAGAATGCCTGACGAACGTTGGCCCCAAAAACTTCACAGATGGAAGCCCCCTGGTAGAAGAAAAAGAGGTAGACCTCGACGCTCATGGAATGAAGGTATTAGAAGAGCAATGGAATCGAGAGGTTTGGAGGAGGAGCATGCCTTGGACCGAGAGGATTGGCGGAGGAGGACGGGAATACGGCGATAGCCGTCTCCAAGATGTATTCTATTTACAAATTGGATCCTGTAATATATATATATATATATATATATATATATATATATATATATATATATATATATATGTATATATATATATACATATATAAATATATATATATATATATATATACATATATATATATATATATATATATATATATATATATATATATATATATATATGAATTGTAATGAAAATTGTGTTTTAAATATAATATACATAACTCGTAAAAAGTTATTTGATTTTTGAAGCAGTTTTTCTAATAATGTTTACGTAATTTTCCGTTTAACTCTTATTTTCGATAACCTGGATTGCAGTGCCAATTAGTTCGACTTCTAATATATTTGTTTACTTTTAAACTATTTTAACGATAAGCCACCTTTGTCCACCAGAAATATATATAATAGGTAATATGTTATAATAGAAATTACACCAATAAGCTCTCTATCTCGTCTAAATTTTAAATATTGGGTTTGCAGCAATAAAAAATGAAACGTGTACTCTTCTAAATTTTTAATCCTAGCTTTCGGACATTGGTTATGTCCTTCATCAGGGAGAAACTTAATGAGGTTGTATCTTCAATGATGTTACATAATGTTGATAAAATTTTTCATATATATATATATATATATATATATATATATATATATATATATATATAGGCAACCATAAATTCATACTTTTAATTTATTGGTCCTCTTCATTAGCACTAGTTAAGTTAATGATCCTTCTCCAAGTTAATTTTAACTCTTCTAACTTGGATTCACCGTAATGCTGAAGACCAATAAGTGTGAAACAGGTATTTATACTTGCTTTCGCTCTTTTTATACATTTTCATCCGTCTTAAACACCCCACTAACTCCCCCACTAGGACTGTAAACGCTGGTATAGGGTTCCAGAATTGAAGTGAGTGTCATGAATAAATGGAACATGGACAATGAGACAGTTGGTTAAATTCCAACCGGTTTAAAATAGACAGCTTCTGGAAAATAAAAAGTTCATACTGTAATAATAATTATATCTACTTAATAATGATATTAGAATGAAGCTAGATATCTACTGCAAAGGTTATGAGTACTTTTTGGGCACTCCTGTTATTAGTGATAAAATGATATTCTTAAGAATTTTATTTAAAAAACTCTTCATCCAAAAACCTTAAAATAACTTGTTTTAATTTATACTTTTTTGTTTCAGGACGTAAAAAGAAGGCCGCGCCCCCACCCCCACCCGCAGTTAGAGCTTCAAACCCCTCAATAAATCTAGAACCCGCTAGTCCCGTAGTTGCTAGTCAATCAACCACTCCCACAAAAGGTGAGTTACCAGAAACGAATCCCAAACAAAGCACCTTATCTCTCAACCGCTTTTCTTACAATTTCAAACCGTCTAAAGTCAAGAAAGAAAGTACAAACGACAGAAAATTTGGGTTTCTTTTTAAAAATAAACTATTTAATAGATGTGTCAGCAGCGAAGATGTAGGCGAGGAGTATTTACCTAAAACTTTAGGAAAAATATATAATGAAACCAATGATGAAGTTAACGATAATAGAAATAACAATTCTGTTGCATCTAATGATGAAATACTCGTATATCAAGTGAATGATGTCAGTATCAATGATAATAACGATAACGTAATTGAAAATACGGATTCAACTAATGTTAATGACGAAAATGTAAGCCACACCAAAGTGTATACACAAGATTCTTTTGATTCTATGGATTCCGTAGAATCCATTGAGTCTACAAATACGGATACTGATATTGTCGAACTACGCGATAACTCGTCAACAGAAAATAGCAGCATTTGTAGTGTAGTGTTGAAAAGTATTGAGGAAACAAACGGCAATAAGAACGAAAGTTTAGAGAATTTGTCTGATAGTGATTTTTATACTGAACCTGTTAAACTTGATAAATCAATCAAGAAATCAGAATCTCAGATTAGTTTATCTAGTCGCAAAAGTAATGACGAAAATTGGAAACAGTTTATTAGTAAACTAGATCAAATAATTGTTAATAAATCTACAGAATTTTTATAAGAAATTAAAATACCGTTTAGAATATTGAACTATCTATAAAACATACCTACTCAAATCACATAATAATCATAAATAATAAATTTTTAATACAACTTCCATTGTAGTGTAACTAGTAACATGAAATAAAACATAGATGGACAAACTTTTTCGCTAAAAATACCTTATTCTTTTTAGCCTTTTAGGGCGCTGAATTGAAATATGAAACTTATTAAAGTAGACGTACTTTAATAAAGTAGTAATAACTTAGTAAAGTACAAGGTCTAAATACAGCTTTAAAACCTCTTTTAACAGTTTATTTTTTAATTTTTGATGAGATGTGATTAAATAATTAAAAGAACATTACGAACTTTATGAAAAAGGTTTAACTATCATACTTTGAAACTAAACTTGGTGATCAAGATACATCTTGGGTGCCGTATAAGGTTTGTGATGTATGTATTGAAAATATAAGAAAATCGTGAAAAAAGTAGAAAAAAATCCTTTAAATTAGCTGTTCCTATGATACAGATAAAGCTAAGAAATCATTCTGATAACTGTTACTTTTGAAGTGTTGATATTATTGGTCATAACTCAAAAAACAAGATAAGCTACTAATAAGCTACTTCAACCCTCTGTCCGCCGTCCACCTAGTAGAACACGATGTAGATTTGTCTGTCGCTGAACCTGAACTTCCAGATAATTTAAATTCTACGAAAGACAGTTAAGATTTAACTTTACTACAGAGCCCCAGCATTCGAATTTACGTATTTAATTCTTTTGGATTCCTCAGAGCGAACTTGTGGTAAGCAGTATGTCTGAATGAAGCAGAATTTTTCTATCGTATTAAAAGGAATTCTAAAAATAATGTGCAGAATAATGTGTAGAAAGCACAGATTTTGCATTTTCCTGAATTAATTTTGAACAGAGTTCTATTGATTTAAATTCTATTCAAAGTCAACTCTTTTCTGATGTGCAATTGAAGTTAGATGAAGAATTTCAGTATATTCAGTATATTGTTTAATCGGTGGTTGGTATCAGTGTTGTCTATAGGAAGATATCAGCAATTTTCCAAGTTTTTTTAACAAGAAGATGATTTCGTGTACTACTCAGATATCCTCATTTTGATGAATGATTTTAGTATTTAATACAAACAGGAAGAATGGAGACTATTTATTGATTCATCCAAAACTTGTTTAAAGGTTTTATGACACAATGGAACATGCACGCATAACGCTATAACTGGTGATCATTCAGTACATTTGAAAGAAATTTATGGAAACCTAAAGTTTCCTTTTTAAACAGTGATATTTCCCGGGCAATTTGTGAGATGTTAGTGAGGACCAAGATTGGCGATTTTACTAGAACAATAAATTTGGGGAAAAACGCTACCAGAGCCGCTGAAGCACTAACATAATGAATGACTACTGTTGGTTGCCACCGATAAATCCTCCAACTGGCTCATCGTAGAAAAAGCTTTGATACAAAAAACTAAGGTCAGATTTGTATTCAGCATATAAGAATCTATAAAAATCAGCTATTTAAATAAACAATGTTTTCAAAAAAATATTTTTTTTGTGGTCTGTCCTATCGTTATTATCATGAATATATATTCTTCTTCTTCTTCTCGAATTCCTTAATGCATAAAAGAGCTCGACTTTTGCGAGCGTCTATTCATCTTTTACTCATTTCTTACACGTCTTCTATTCTTCTGTAATTTCTTTAATCTACAATCTTTTCCCTCGCGTAATCCCGATTTCCTGCACTCTTTCCATGGTTTCCATCCACTCTTTTGTAGGCCTACCCCATTTCTTCTTTCGTGTCCTATGGTCTACATATTTTTGTTACTAATATATTCCCGTGCGTTTTAGTTATGTGTCCATAACAGCTTCTTGCTTTATTTCTGCTACATAATATCGTACTTACGTGTCTCTTTTTCCCAATATCGTATTATTTATTGCGTAGTATAATATGTAGTTTTTTGTCTATATATATATATATATATATATATATATATATATATATATATATATATATATATATATATATAATTCTTTGGTAATCAACTTTCGGGAAAGCGTCAAATCAAGGATCGGGCTAGGGATGGTATAAGCCAGTTTGGTGTAGAACTTTATTCTAAATGTGAAATTTTCGCTGATAGGCTGTCACCTTCATCAGCACCTAAATGGAAAACCTATTTAGTAGAAGTGGTGGAAATCAAATATTATAATATTTGATTTTTTTTTATTTGATGTTTTTTAATATTTTTAACATGTTTGTGACAGTGTTCTTCACCACGAGGACCAACTGAACATTTGCAATGTAGGTTTTTAAATGTTGATTTCCACCACGTGTACTAACTAGGTTTTCCATTTAGGTGCTGATGAACAGGTGACAGCCTATCACCGAAAATTTCACATTTAGAATAAAATTCTACACCAAAACAGGCTTATACCATCTCTAGCCGATCCTTGATTTGACGCTTTCCCCAAAGTTACCTACCAAAGAATTGTATTCTTAGCGTCGTTATATACACTATATTTATATTTATTTATATATATATATATATATATATATATATATATATATATATATATATATATATATATGTATTTTATCTAGGTCAATTTCTATTTCTCTTCTAATGTTTTTTGTCTTCCCTTTAATTTCTAGGTGTAGCTTTATCCGTCATTTGATATTTTATCATTCTCGTAAACTATCGTAAGTAAGCAGTTACTCTAGTCATTTACTGAACATTTGGGTTCAATCTCTAATCTCCTGCTCCTGATGTCTTATTTTCGTAGTCTTCGATTTGTTAATTGCTTACTATTAACTTATTTTTTTTCTACTTTCTCTGTCCATACATAAATTAGTCGTTGTATCTTTCGCGGGGTATCTGGTGGAGTACCATGCCATTCGCATGCAGTAATCCTTCTTAACTGGAGTTAGATGTGTTTAATATATTGTCGTCTTTAAGTGGTGTGTCTCGTTTTTATTTTTAAATAGTTTATCCATAATTATTACGAATAGGACTGAGCTAAGACTATCTCCCTATTTTATATACTTGTACATACTACATTTTCGTAATCTGGTGCCTTTCATTTGTATTTTGTAGACTGCCCTTCTATAACTACTTCTAATTGCCTGTAATAATGTTCTCGATATGTCCAGCTCCTGCATAGTTTTCTACATTACTTTTCGGTCTACCGAGTCAAACGCAGATTTAAAGAATGTCTATAACGGTAATATTTGTTATTTCTCTGGTCATTATTTTTTTTTATTTGTCGTAATATGCTTATGTTTTTCTAGTTTTTCGTCTACCTCTGTTCTTACCCTTCTTTCTATTATTCCTGTATAAAGCTTGATTAAGCACTACTAATGATAGGCGTATATCTCTATAGTATCTTCTCCTTTCTTGTGTATTGTGACAAGTAGCCTTTCTAGACAAAACTCGGCTTTAATTTAAACAAAAATATATTCGAATTAAATAAATAACAAAATTAAATTATATCCTAGATAATATGTAGATAATTATTTAAACGCTAATCCTAGCGACGAATGTATCGACGACTCGATGATCCACGGTTTAGTAATTGCGAAAATTACAATATAATTAATGTCATAAAAATCCAAACGAAAACACGGTACATTAATAGCAGAAGCGGTTACCCTTCAGTCAACACCCTAGGGCCAGTGGAATTGTTCCCATATCAGCACCCTGATAGAACTCCATTCTCTCGTGCTGTGGCTCTTGTTTTATATGGTTGTTGGCCCTCCATCCCCTTTAGTACGCATCGATGGAAGTGGAACACAGCGATGGGAATTCGTGTGTATGGAGTGTTTACGGGCGATAGGTGATGATGTACATCGTTACACCCCCTTCTCATTAGGAAAAATGTATTACTTATTTTTTTTTCGTGGAACCTACAACGGCGTCATCCCATTCACCCTTCGTGGTATTTTGATCTTGAGTCTTCTGCCGGTGTTGCAGATTCTCCAGAATTTTTTTGTTCCTTTTTCCACCAGTTTTCTCGAGACGATTTCCGCCAAATTGGAATTGTTTCCAAGCTGTGGCTCCCCCGGGGTCGTCATTGCTGCGGCTTTGGATCCTGTCGGGGTGTCTGAAGCGTGGCGCTTCTTTGGTGGGCATGGTGGAGTACAGAACAACAGATGAAACTTGTTGAGGATGCATCCTACTTCCTTCCCTGGCGTGACAGGTAGCTCAGGCCTCTCTGGCGTTCCCAGTGAGCTCATTTCTTCGGGAATATCTAAGATGTCTTTCATGGCTGATTGTTATTTGAACTGAGTTACGTTTTCAGAGTTCGCTGCTTAAGTACTGTCTTACTTAGATGGGAATAGGAGTTCTTTTAAGGTGCCTTCAACTGATGTTGTTGTGTCTGTCGTTAGTGGACAAAGTTGTATTTCTATTTTTGCTCGGGCGCCAATTTATGACGAGTATCTGCGAAAAATAAAATGTAATTAATGCCACAAAAATCCAAAAGAAACCACTGTCCATTAATACATACTCGCTAACGAAAAGGAATGGTTAGGGTTAGTGGTGTACGGATGGATCAACACTCGATCCGGCAAGGAGTGGGAAGTGACTAATCAACACTTATCTTGGAAGTTGGCCTTCAGTTAACACCCTAGGGCCAGTGGAGTTGTTCCCAGATCAACACTCTGATAGTACTCCATTCTCTCGTGCGGCGGCTATTGTTTTATATGGTTGTCGGTCTTCCTCTGGCGCGCATCGATGGAAGTGGAACTCATCAGTAAGAGTGTCATCAATATTATATTTGTTCTGCATTCTTCTCTTATTATTTCCGGCAACCATTTATTTCGTTCTTTCCCTATCAACTTTAACATTTTGTGATTAATTTTATCTTGCCTACTCGCTTTTCTTCTAATTCTTCAAATCTTAGTTCTTCTATATAGTTTTCGTTTACTGCTATTTTTTTATTTTGTGGATGATCTTCTGCGAATGTACTTTTGGACATAGTGGTTAGAGGTAGATCACGACAGTGAAAGAAGTTAACTTGGAGTTAACCTTGATAAGAAGCTTCGTGCGTGGAAACCAGGAAACCTGCGTGAAATATCAACCTCGTAAATATCACCTTTAAATCATTAAGAATTCTGAACGAACCATAAACTTTTTGTTAAAAATTGGGGTCTTCAAACATAAATGATCTGTTGGTCATATACATTTTTTTTCAAATTTATAATTACTTATATTACGTTGGTTTAATAGAACAAAACAGTGCAGAAAAGTCAATAATAGTTTTCAAAAATGCAGACTCGCTTACATAATAATCACTGGCTGAATGAGGACGTGCGACCTTTTATTATTCACTATAGTACACTCTTTGTGAGATGCAAGCTGACTCTTGCACGTCCCAAGGTTGAACCTATAGAGACGAGGGTACTATAAGATTAATTGTTAAAATAGATACTCGTGATTTTTAGTTTGGTCAATGAACATGGGATACGATAAAATCTTGGTTTCCATATCCATTGACAGGAAAAGAACATAAAATGTCTGCACAGTCCAAACAAATGCAAATGATTTTTATTTTACTAACAAAACTTCTGAGTATATATTTATAAATATATTTAAAACATGCTCAAAAATGTGTGAAATAATTTAGAATACAAAATTACATGATTACTACAATTTTTAGATATATTTGTCGTTTGTACTTTCTGTGCCTTGTACATAATATATTGGTTGAGGTGCTACAATAAAACGAAGGTAAAGGTAACTAACCATTATCTCTAATCACGCTTTGTATTTTGCATGCTAGCTACACCCAGTACGCCACTGGATCCCCTAGTTGCACCAAATTTACCTAAGCCTCTTCCTAGGGGCAAAAGTAAGGCTCCGCCAGTACCACGTCCCAGAAGTGAAATTATTACTGTGGAAACGATTATAGAAGATATAGATGATACAATTAACAAACCTCCAAGAGTTCCTAAAATAGATAATGATATTGTTGTTCAAGAAGTTATTAAAGAGGTAGTTTCGGCGGACATTGAGGTAGAATCAAATACATTAAAAAAAGATATAGAAACCGTTGAACAGGAAATAGAAACATTGAACGAAGAAATTATTAAAGAAAACAAAAGTGATATTAGTGAATTGGAAGATGTACCCACACCTGATAAAAGTGAAGATATTAATCATGATAAAAACGAAGATAAAGATAAAATTGAAGATACCGAGAATACATCAGAATCTTTTCATAGTAGTTTAATTGTAGTTATAGATGCTAATAATAACACAAATTCTAGCAACGTAACAGAAGATTCTGAAAAATTAGCATATAATAAAATAAGGGAATTGCAAAAAATATCACATGATCTTCTATTCTCGTCACCTGCTTTTAAAAGCCATAAAGATCAAGAACCGCGTATAACAAGACCTACAATAAAAAATACAAAAATAGAAGATGTTAAAGAAGAGAGCATATGTGGAGAAGGAAACAATGTAACAGCAGATGTGAAGGAAACAGCATTAACACAAGACATAGCGACAATAAATACAAATAAAAATGATGCAGAAATACAAGAGAATATTACAGAAGATTGTAAAGATGATAAAGCAATAAAAGATATTAAAGAAACAGTATTACTCCCAGAAAAAGCAACTCAGAAAGACAATTCAGTAAATGTCTTGCAAAATATAAAAGAAAACGTTGTAGCAACTGCATTGACCCCAGAGACTAAAATAGAAGAAATGCATAGCAATGTAAAAGAAGAATCTAGTGAATTGGGTCCAGTCTGTTCTGAGCTATCGGTTTCCAAGAAGCTACCACCCGAAATTGTAGCTGTTATTCCAAAGCCTCTATCTGATAAAAAGTTTAATTCTTCAAACAAATATGACAGTTTTGGTAAAAGAAGACTGCAGAAGCTTTCTTCCATCTCCAGCCTAAACGAAGATGAAAACGGTAGTAAATCGGGTAGTGTGTCAAGTAGAACTTCAGTGTCTTCAGCCTTAGGAGCGTTTAACTTCGTAGACGAGTTTTCCGATCTAGACGAGAAAGTTTTTACGGGCTCTATATCAAAGAATTTTTCGTTGAAGGACGAGGACTTCTTTAATGAATTATATGGCATACACCATTTGGAAGATTTTCAAATTAAAAAGAACCAGTCTGTTAGTAGCTTAAGAAGTCTTAGCAGCCTTCCTGGCTTCTTAAATTCTGGTAGTGGTATGAGGAAATGGGTGAATACTGAAGACTTAGATGAACTTTCCATTTCTGAAGATCCTAATTGTAGATGGGTGATTGGTGATTCTGAACCAGGCATGTCTTTTTATTATCTTTTATTATCGGTCACGTTTATGGAATAAAAGAATATTTTTCCTTTTGAAGATTTAGCTGTTTATTATATATTTTCTCATTAAAACTGTCTATTTCAGTCTGATTTAAATGAGATCAACGAAATTTTTTGTGTATGGTAGATTAACTAATCCTAGAAACGTATATTACCGATACAATATTTCCGATACAATTTATTTTAGACTATCAGTTTATTATTTTTAATAGCTCCTTCGTTTTCAGACTTATGTCCTAATTTACATAGTCAAGGAGGCGAATGGTCATTTTACAAAAGTCTCCCAATCCCATTAACTGTGTCTATCTGCTGGTCCTCACGGAAATTACTTTCTTAAGTAAGGGGAAGCATTAAAATGATCATTAGAATTTTATTCTGGAATAGGCAGATAATGTTTACGTTTTATTTGATACGCTATTTAAACGGGTTTCTTTATTATAAACTTGCAGGGCAGTATGTTTCCCTATAACTAATATTTGCTCTTAGACTTGATTTTTAATAAATTCTCCAGCTGGGAAATCGTTCTCAAAATAGAATTTATTCAATGTATTTTGTTTTCTTTGTTTTCTGTTTATTGAAAACGAAAACATTCTTTTGATAATTTAATTTTATCAGTCCCACTCATAATGACAATTCAGATATATCTACTCTCTAAAAGTTTGAAGCTATTTTTATTCTGAGCTGTTAATTGTATTTCGATAATTATTTTTTTTCTCACATTATAGGTTTACTTTCATGGAATTATTGTATTAGTGTTTTCTGAGAAATGCCAACGTTTTTTTACATATACGAGGTGTAAAAATAAAGTTGTGGTTTTTATTTTATTTTGCAACACCCTGTGAAATTTATTAGAAACAAACGCTAATCTGAATATTGCCAGATAGCTTCATCTTTTCTCGACATTTTCATAAAATAATCATCTTTATATCTCTATTCTTACACACTAAACGATAGTTGAAATGTTGCAAGTTTTATTTATGCACATTTAAAGCAAAGAAAGGACTAGTGACATAAACTTGTTTGTAAATATCAGTTGAATAATTTAAAACTACTAAAGTCAACTTTCAATTACTTAGAAATAGACCTACAATGTGAAAAAGAAATCATCGAAATACAATCAAGACTTCGTAAGAAAAATAGCTTTAAAATTATGGTACATTTGAGATGGTCCGTTAATTTTGTAGAATAGTATATTATATATATGTTAAAGTAGAAGTCAGCACTGTGCGTTGCTCAGAGAACTCTGTTCAGCATAGTTCATTTGATTATATCAGTTTTTGAAGCCTTGTCATCAAAATAAAGATAGTATGTTATTAGTGTTAAACAGTACCACATACTCCATACTAGATCCAATTATAACAGTGAAATTTTATTGTTAGTAATTCTATTCCAATTAAAAAACTATACATTTCACTTGTTCGAATAAAAAACTTGTTACCACCAGTTTTAGTAAAAGCGATTATTCTTTTTCGTCTACAAATAAGGAATTCAGACGTGAAAAGTTTGACTAATTGCTGCTCCAATGTCATAATATTTTAATTATGACATCGGAGCAGTAGTAAGCTTTTGCTGAAGGTCCAATTGTTTGCACATACTAATTTAATAAATCATTCTCGTACCTCGTCATCAAAGTAGATGACATCTCTGTGCGCAAACCACTGAAAGTGGGAAGATTTTTGAGACATTAGTTGGACTTTTCGGCTTGAATAGGAATCAGCTCGAACAGACAAGTTCGAAAAAAGTCATTATCAATATTAAATATTGCACTCACGTAAAAGTTCGTTGATACTCGAAGGCAGGGCCATTGGTCTAAAGAATAACACATATCGGAATCCCTCTTCTAGCAAATCATAATGAAATGTGGTTAACCCCGTCGGCAGAAATCAAATAGTAAAACAAGTATGTGAATGCTCAGCGCCAAAAAGTGAATTGCCAGTCGGACTCTATAAATATACGAAAAAAAAGGATCTCTTAATATCGCAATTATTAAAAACAAGGACTGAACAACTTACCACAAAATTTTGAATGTCTCGATCATAACTTAACTACAAATATACACTTCTGAATGCATATTGATATACAAATAACAACTGGCAACTGAGAACTAAAATTGGATTTTGGCTTTTTTATTAGTTTACGATGAGCTAATTAATTTTTGGGGAGGGGAAGTGTAGTTTGGTTCAAAATATCTGTTTCCCTGATAAAATATTCACATTTTAACTCGAATATGAACCTAAACCAATAAAATTTTGAGAGGGATTATGTGAGATTGATACTTGAATGAAGTGGTTTAAAATAAAACGTATTCTTTTATGTGAACGTACGAATTCTCTAACTCCAAACATAATTTATTATTAAAAGGGAGACTTAAGTATAAAAGACTTAAGTACAAACACTTCTACGTATTCGCTTTCGTATTTCAGGTTTTAGAAAAATGGAAAAAGAGCAATATCGGTGCAAACTCCTAAATAAATATTGCATAATACTTAAAAACCGCTACATCAGTGTAGAAGACTTTATTTAATTAAATGTGTTTGTTAATCTTAAATATTCGGAAACTTCTCATGCGTGTCCTAAAGAATTGTATATTTTTTCATAATATACATAACTAAAAAAGAAGACTATTAATAATATATTCAATGTAGTATCAGTTATACTATACACAATTTCATTTGCATATTTCACAAAACTAAGTTGCTGTAATAGAAACCGCTTAGAAAATTCAAATGTTAAACACTATTAACATTTGAATTTTGTTTGTAAAAATTTTATGTTAGTATAAAACATACTATAAAATGATAGGTATTACTGAACTACAAGAACTATAACGTGGGAAAGGCAAAGATAACTTCAAAGCTTACCGGTACAATCTCAATTTACCAGAAATATAGATAATATTCCATTATTCCATAAAAGTGACTCATAGTATCTGTTAATCGGTTTTGGGTAGTGTTTTGTCAATACATATAAATCGCTATATTAGATTAGATAAACAGTAGTGCAATAGATCTTTTGTTATAACAGTTTCCCATTTCCAATGTAGGTGTGAACTTCCAAGTTCTGTACATTGTATCTCTTGGTAAAAGTGATCTTATTGGTAACGGTATATCTATATGTACTATGTATCTTAAGTTAAGTGTGTAATTGGTATTTCTGCGTAGTTTCAAGGTAAGCCTTAAAATATTAATTCCTAAAATCGTAGATTTTCATGTATAAAAATTTAATTCTTAAATGTTACCATCACCATTATGTATTCAATATATTCTTCTATTTAATCCAGTAACATCTTGTAATTTCCTTTATACAGTGTACTCCATCCCAACTATCGTAATGGTGGGGCCAAGGTATTGAGGATCACCATCTACTCTTGTTTTGCCACAATTTAAGTTTAAAATTAGTTTATTGACGTTTCAATTTCCACTTCGAAAATAGTTCTCAAAATACAAAACATCAATTTTATTACTTGGTGAAAAATTCTTCTAATAATTCAATTTTATTTGACTCATTCGTATTGACAATTCATGCATTTTAAAGTAGACCACATTAAAAAGATATTGCCAATATTGCTGATTTGTGTTCCTGGGACGACATTATTGTAAGATAGTTCAATCGATTACATGAAATCAACTTTACCTTAAGAATATCCGTTAGAAAAATCAAAGCATGATATTCGTCTTTAAAATGATAACTACATGCCATATTAATTACTATTTAACTGGGAATAAGCCACAATTAAAGATAAAAATACGTTTATTGACGTTTCAATTTCCACTTCGGAAATCGTTCTCAAAATACAAACAGTAAATTAAACAAATTTTGTTTTTTGTTACATAGTGAAAAATTCTTCTAATAATTTAATTTTATCTGACTCATTTACATTGACAATTCAGACATACATTATGTATTTTAAAGTAGACGACTTTAAAATGATATTGCCAATATTGTTGAGTTGCGCTCCTGGGACGACTTTACTTATAAGATAGTTCATTCGATTACATGAAATCAACTTTAACTTGGGAATATCCGTCAGAAAAAATCATAGCATGTAATTCGTCTTTAAAAAGACAAACACATGACATGATAACAGTAAAATTCTCCTGTTAGTGATTCCATAGTAAATTATAAGGGAAAAACCAGGAAAACAACCTCATAATACTATCCCGACATTGTAAGTATTTGTTCGTGAATAAATAAGGTATTTTCAACAATCGATCGAATAGAACAGAACAACTTAGAACAAGATCCTACAGTATACACAAGGAATAATATGAGGAAAATAACAGTACCGTACATAAAAGGATTATCAGAAAAACTTAAAAGGATAGAAAATAAATTCAACATTTCAACAACATTCAAAACAACAAACACGTTGAGATCTATTTTGTCCAAAACCAAACCTAACAATGAACAAGAAAGGACAAAGAATTGCATTTATAAAATACCTTGTGAATGCGATCAGTTTTATTTAGGTGAATCATCAAGGCCATTAAATGTTAGAATAAGTGAACATCAATCTCATATTAAAAATAGAGAATTTGATAGATCTCAAATATGTAAACACGCATGGGATAATGAACATAGGGTTCAATGGAATAATTCAAATGTAGTCCTAAAAGAAACGGATGGTAAAAAAAGAAAAATCAAAGAGGCGGCTCTAATTATGCTAAATGAGGCCAATTGTGTCGCAAATTCCTCGGCAAAATGTATTAGGATCTGGTTACCAATATTGAAAGAGGAAGTTATTAATAAGAAAATACCAGTATTAGTAAGTCAGTAACATATAGAGGATACATCATTTATGTTTTTTAAATAACGTAACATATAAAATCAGAATTTTGATGTTTGTTGAAGGTAAACTAAATTCACGAACAAATACTTACAATGTCAGGATAGTATTATGAGGTTGTTTTCCTGGTTTTTCCCTTATAATTTACTATGGAATCACTAACAGAAGAATTATACTGTCATC